CAGAGTCCTGTAATTACATGARCACATTTCTARTTATTTATTTCTGGGGCAGGACTGAAAGGTGGGGTCATTATCTCAATATACCTCTAATACCTGCACTGAGTGAAGAATTTGAGGSCTCTGTCATGGTTCAAAGAGAGATTGAGACAGACATAATGGTATATTTCTGTGTAGGATTCTAAATTAGGTTTGTTTCATAGAAATGTAGGGCAATTTGAGTTGGAAGAGACCTCTGAAGGTCATCTAATCTAACCCCCAGCAATGAGCAGGGATATCTTCAACTAGAGCAGGTTGCTCAGAGCCCCATCCAACCTGACCTTGAATGTTTCCAGGGGTAGGTTTTTCACCAGTTCTCTGGACAGCCTGTGCCAGTGTTTCACCACCCACAYCATAAAAAAATTATTCTAACCTGAATTTATTTTCTTTTAGTTTAAAACTATTACCCATTGTCCTATCACTACAGGCCCTAATAAACTGTCTGCCTCTGTCTTTCTTATAAGCMCCCTTTAAGTAAGGACCACAATAAGGTCTGTGCTAAGCTTTTTCTTCTCTAGACTGAACAGTCCCAACTCTCTCTTGTTGATTGCATTATATGTTAATTATCTGAAGGCTAAACAGAAAAACTTTGTATTTATGGGAAGTAAAACATTGCCAGTGAAAATAAATCCATAAACAACAGAACAAAAAACATTGAGAAGAAATGATACCTCTACAGATTTATACAGGGCTCTTTCTTGGGGCACTGGGGTGGATTCCTAGGCCTGAGAAAGGATGCCTTTTTTGCTAGTSATGTGTATGCCTGGTATAATGTTGTGTGTTTTGAGTGCTGAGGTAAGGGCTACCCACAGCATTTCTGTTGTGTAGGGATTTGGTGCTTTTTGGAGCAATTCACTTTTACTCTGTTGCCTCTTCATCTGCAGCTCTGCAGGACCAACAGAGTAGGTCCAGCTGACAGCTGCAAGGGTGATGGAGAGCATGTCGTGTTAGGGAACACATGTTTGGATAATTCACTTATGTCTTGATTTCCCAACTAAGGGAGACAATGCTCTGTGAAGAGGCAGTATGGATTCTAGCATGAAGAGCTCTTCACTCAAGAAAGAACGAGCAGWTTGTCACTGTTTAGAGACAGGGAGAATGGAGAAATAGAATACTCTGAAAAACAAATGAGAGGGGAAAAGGCARCCTAGATTCCTCTGCTTATTTTTCCCTCGTCACACAAATTCGATCAGTGAAACTGGAAGTCCCAAAGCATAACAGCTGTAAGGTGTGCTCTGTACCATGTCATAGCCTAGAAATTCATTGTCACATGCTGTCATTATCTCAGCCAATGTTCCAGAAGAATACAAAATAGAGGTATATAATTGAATAATGAGGAGCAAGCAGCTGTATCCAATACCTTTAGTTGTTTTGCTTATTACACTGTGTAATAATTCATGACCAAACTTAACTTCCTGGCAGTAGAAAATAATTTTTTTCAAGCAGCTTAAGCAGCTTATATGAAGGGAAAGAAGTACGTCTCCACAGCTGTTTGGGAAGCTGTTCCCATTTGGGTGGGAGCCTAAAACTCCCATTAACTGTCACTTTTAATGCCTGGCTTCTCAGTGTTTGGAACACTGGTGAAATGGAAAAACTTAACATGCCTTCTGAAACAAATCTGAAATATATCTGGCAGTTGGGCGTCCCTCTCCACACATCATCAGGCACGGGAGAAGCTGTACAGAGGGAGGTGGTTAGCACATGAGCTTGACTCACAGGAGATAAGCATTTCTATAGCAGCCACCTTTGAGGGGCGAGGGAGGTTCTCCAGGGATAGCATAGGATAGCCTGCTGTAGCTAAAAGCAGCTCAGTTTTGTCCAKGACTTGTTATTCTTTGTAAGTCAGAAGTTCGTACAGAGCTGGATTATGCAGTATTTCTGTTAATGGATGAACTGACCACTGACAAAGCCTGTATTTCAGCTGATTTATTTTTTTTTGTTAGCATTTCAATTTGCCATTGTCATTGAGAGCAAACAATTTGAACAGAAACTTGCACATTTGCAGATCAGATGTTTATTTCCTATTCCGTGATGAGTGGGTGGGATATTAAGTCCAGGTGACAACAGCCACAAGTTTAGCTTGGTCTCCAGCGAAAAACCACATAGACTGAAATAGGTGATGTGACTTTCAAAGCTGTGTTTTTCAAAGTCTTTGATTTGTAGGCTGTCTTAACATTTCTTTCCAGAAATGAAACTGATGAATCACTAATCAGTATAAAAACCCATGTTACAGTAAAAGCACAGTTAAATACTTAAAGATTTCTCTTGCCCTGTTCAGAAGCTTCAGCAAGATAAAGTGARAATTGTCTTTCTGTTTTGAGGATAGTATCTATACCTCTCTAACTGTCCCAATACCCTGTTTCAAATTCCAAATACCTCATTTAGCAGCAGATTCCACAGGGTGAACAATGGAAAGACTTTTTTTCCCCCCCCTTGTAAACCTTGGGAAAAATGAACAAAGTCATGAAAGGAGSTAACATGAAATTGTCAAAGTGAGTTGCACTCTGACTGGTTTCTTGTCCTCTGCCTTGTGGTGCTGAAAGTCCCAAGTTTACCAGAGTACAAATGTGAGCTCTTTCCAAGCTTTGCAGTAACTTTGGAAYCCAGATATTTACTGATTATGCTCTAGCACAGGAGAAAATCATTCTTAGTCATCATTTCTTTCCTTACGACCTTCTGTTTGTGAACATTTATTTGTCTTGAGCCAAAGAAAGGTGCGTTTTGAGAGTTCTATGAATTTATAATATGTAATGAATAAGAATGGGGCATGTTTCAAAATACTTGCATAGATCTGAACATTTTTGTATCTTCTCTTTAGGTGGTGCCCTGACTAATCCAGACAATTCTTGTGTACAGGAGCCAATAATTTGCGGTTTTAATGCATCTCCTTGAAGGATTTATTTGTCGCTTACTCTGAGACTGCAATGGTGATGCAGTGCGCTGATATCTTAAAATGAAAATCAGTCAAACTGACTTGTTTTAAACTGACCTTTAAACTGATTGACTAACCTTAAATCACCTTGCTATTGAGGCAAACTGTAAGGATCATGGTTTTCTTCAGCCTCTGGTGAGTCTGTAGCCTCCCCATGGGAGTGTCTGATAGAGTTTTTTTCTGGATGGAAGTCATTAATGGTTCATTTTATTCTGCTCCCAGGTAATGAAGGTGGAATTCTTGTGTTCTTCTGTCCAGCCTGCACCAGTGACTTAGCTACAGGGCATGCTTTTTCTGTCTTCACTAATGTCTGTATTTGACAGAMCTTTCTAATTTTTTGATGTGATTTCAGCTTCCAAACAATTTGCTGAAGACGTCTTGAAAGCACACAACGACTACAGGAAAAAACACGGAGTTCCCCCGTTAAAACTCTGCAAGAAGTTAAACAGAGGAGCCCAACAGTGAGTTCAGTCCTTTCTTTTCTCTAATGAGATTTGTGGCACTTTTGTCTGTTAGATTGGACTGTGTATACTGCAAAGATATTTGCCTTTTGACATGCTGACRATCCAGTGAACACTTACTGAGTAAAAAGTGAAAGACTTTCCTCTTTTGTTCCTGCTTTCTCCATCAAAAAACACTAACTGGTCACAGCAACCCTTCTGTGGTCACAACCATATAAATCTTTCTTGGAGCCTTTTTTCAGATGTGGGCTACATCTGTCTGCACTGGTATGTGTCCTCTGCAGAAGGTARTTGTCTAAAAGATGCTTCACAACCATTTCTGTCAGATGAGGGATTGTCATCCACTGGAGAATATCCACTGCTGCTGAAATAGTGAAAAAAGAACTTATTTACGGTAAGAAGTGGTAACTGCTCTAATATCAGTGGAATCAGGAGGAARTMATTTCAGATCAAATTATCTATYTCRYWGCTCCAAAAGCAAAAGCATTGTACATTCTGTCAGGAAGGAAACATCTTTCCTCTTCTCCAGTGTTGAAGACWGCACAACTTCTTGTCAGTGAATCCATCTYCCTGCTCTCTGATTTGAGTCTTCCTTATAGAAATTTGAGTCCAATRCTGYTTGTCMTCTTTACTGTAGTTATGATAACCTGATTAGTTCCCCTCCCTTTAGTAAAACTTTTTCAAGAGGTAGATTTAAAAATCTTCCATTTTTTTTTCATGCTGATTCTCACAGTACAAAGGAGATAACTGAAAGAGTAAATGCTAATTAAACTATTCAGAAGATCAGTAATGTGGCCAGTTTGATCCTTCCATTAGGCTTTCGACCATAACCATGCAGATTTCTCTGTGACAGATGACTGGGAGGCAGAGAGGCTGTAATCTTTCCAGAAGCTGATTTACTGTCCCAGCATGATGGGGCACAGATGTCACAGATGGCTCCTGACTCCTGGATCTCTCCTAGGTGTTGTGGTGTATAACACACCATGTACATGGCATGTGGATATGACCTCTGGCAGCAAGTAAAATCTTGGAGCTTTCACTTCTTTTTTTCCCCTTGAGACACCATTATAACTGGATACAGTATCTCTAAGAGATGGAATGCCAATGACTCATTCACTAACCTTTGTAATCTGCTGGGGCTTTCCTTCTGTTCTTCTAAGGGGTTTTTTTGTCTGTTTTTCATGCTTACAGTGAGGAAGAGATTTCATTGACTTGTCAATAGCACTTGTTGTGCCTCCAAACGGCCACACTTGGTTTGAACAAGTCAGCTTGTATGAATAGTTCAGATTATTCTATCAAATATGCATTGCTCCACATTTATCTCTAAGTGTGCTGTTGCCCTTGCTGGGTATTTTTAGATCCTTCAGAAATTCCTCACAGCCCTCTCAGGTCAGCTGATACCCTACTGTGATGAATAACAATAGGAAACCTCTCTTTGGCTGAGGTTTGTAACTTGTAAGAACTAAAAGACATGTTCAGAGACTGGTAAAACTGGTTGATAGCAAGAAGCAGAAATGTTTTGATCTGAATAAAAAAGACATGAAATGTAAGAAATCTCATATTTGTCAAGATGGATTTTGCATATTCTTAAATTCAAAGAACTTCACCTTTTCTTTGTTAAAATGCTCTGTAGATATCTTTGTTGGTAAGTATTTGGTGTATCTCTGGGTACTTTTCTGTGCTTCTCTATGTTGAAAATGGCATGTTTCCTACTATTTTAGGTCCAGTAATTGTGACAGGTTAGGTGAACTGACTGTTGGATCTGTGCTTTAGGATGAGATGAGTCAGCCTCAGCAGGTGTCTGTTTATCTCTGACTGCAATAAAGCAAAGGGTGATGATCTCAGATGAGAGTCTCATGCTTTCAACTGCCTGAGCTGAAGTGGATTAATCACTCTTTGTCTCAAATCCTTGGCAGCTTCATCCAACTCCAATGTGTACTTTGTCCCACTCATGCCTCCAGCTTTGGATATGAGGATCCTGAGAAAAATTGCTAGACTGTAGTGGTAGCATGTAAGGATCCTCTCATCCAGGATCTAGCAAACTGACAACTGAAAAGTTTTCATTATTGCTAAATTAATGGAAGTAACTAAATACTCTTTTTTTTTTTTTTTTTTTTTTTGGTGGGAGGATTAGGGCAGAAGGAAATTAGAACCTACTAGCTTGAGTCAAAATGTTCAGCTGGACAAAATTCAGGCAGATGCCAGTAACTCATGATTAGGGAAAGAGTAGGAGGACAAAACAAATGTGGTGATCATTCCCTCATTACAATCTCATGGAAATTACAGATTAATCCTGAAAATTACAGTTTTCCTAGGCAGTAAGTGGTAACCTCATTTATTTGTTGCTGTTTAATGTTGTTTAATATRCCCTGAAGATTCCTCCCCCCATCCATACACTGTAAATTTGTCTCTCTGCTTTTCAAACCCACATGTGTTTTGGTGTCTGCATTGTCCTGTGGCGATGACTTCTGCTGCACAGTGTGGAAGAAGTGCTTTGTCTCACTTGAATTTTAAATCTGCAACCTTATGACTCTCTGTATTGCCACTATGAGAAATAACAAATGGTCTTTCCAATTTCACTGTCTGTGTACTGAAGTCTTTCCAATGTTGAATAAAGAGAGTAATTGTTTTACCTATGATGTTCTTTAACCTATTGTTGCAAGAAGACAAAATA